TAATTTTTTTTTTCGATAACTGATTTCGCACGTCGCTCTGTCATGCAATATGTTTCTGTGACAACGGAATTCAACCAGAGTTCTCTATTGCATCTTGAAAGCTGTTTAATTTCTTAGCCCAATGTGTGTATATGTGTGTTATGATATGAGATTTAAGCTTATCGTCATCGTCATCATCATTATCATTATCATCATCATCATCATCATCATCATCATCATCATCATCAACATTATCATTATCATTACCATCATCATCATCATCATTATCATTATCATTACCATCATCATTATCATCATTATCATTATCATTATCATTATCATTATCATCATCATCATCATCATCATCATCATCATCATCATCATCATCATCATCATTATCATTATCATTATCATTATCATCATCATCATCATTATCATTACCTTCATCATCATCATCATCATCATCATCATTATCATTATCATTACCTTCATCATCATCATCATCATCATTATCATTATCATTATCATTATCATCATCATCATCACTATCATCATCATCATCATCATCACCATCATCATAATCTAACTATTATTTATTTCCATCTATTTAAATCTGACTATTGGTTTAGTCTGAACACTACATCATTAAACATTCTTTTTTATAATTAGCAGTACCCCATAACTCTCTAAATAAACTTAAACTTAAACTTAAAACATTCTGAAATCTTGCCTTCCATTAGCGTGTGGTGTGCCATGACAATATTTCCTGGCATTTGTCAAGTGCCAATTACTGATGGCACTTGTTGCATCACCGATATTATCTGTGGTATCAGTGGCAGCTTACGTCATTCATAAAAAGAGGTCGTTGTTGTAATTGATATATGATAACGATAGATATAGATAGATATTGATGATAAGTTTGTATTAATTGTCGTGGTGGTGGTGGTGGTGGGGGTGGTGGGGGTGGGGGTGGGGGGGAGTGGTGGTGTGAGTGAGTGAGTGAGTGTCTGCAAACAAACACCTTTTTTTCTAATATTTTGCTAAATTGCTTTACTGTATGAAATAGTGTGCCTGTGCGTGCCCTGCAAAACGTAATCGACAATTTTTTTTCTTTTTCATTTACTTCTTTGTATCTATCTATCTCTTTCTATCAATTTGTCTGACTATCTATCTAACACTCTCTCTATTTGTTAATCTCTGTCTGTCTATCTACCTGTCAATCTATCTATCCATCCATCTATCTATCTATCTATCTATCTATCTATCTATCTATCTATCTATCTATCTATCTATCTATCTATCTATCACGCTATCCATCTAAGCACACATACACACGCACACACAAATCTCATAGTGTCATATTTTATAGTCATGTTTACCTATCTGTTTGTTTGCGTTAGCCTGAGGGAAAGCCACTTAATTGGCTAAAGTGATGAAAAACGGGTTGTTGGAAACTAGCTTGTGTGTGTGTGTGTGTGTGTGTGTGTGTGTGTGTGTGTCTGTGTGTGTGTACACTGTGGAAATATTTATTTATTCGTTGATTTATTAATTCATACATATGAATATATCAGTGTGTATGTATGTGTAAGTGTGTGCATGGTACATATATACACATACATATGGAAAACAAAATATGAAAAACAGAAAAAACAAAATCTAAAAAAAAGGAAAAACCGAGGCATAGAAAACAAAAGATGAAAATGGAATCGTTAATTCTAACTCGGATAAAACCACAGCTTCAAAATAATTCCAGAGCGCCGTTTTCCATTCAGCTGCGAGTCGGCCAATTTTCTCGTTGGGTTCAGATTAACGGGGGAAAAAAAAGGAGTTTTGACTTGCTTCAAAAAAATATTTTTCCGAGATGCTTCGTTACGAGTATTTTGTGTGTGTATGTGTGTGTGTGTGTGTGTGTGTGTGTGTGTGTGTGTGTGTGTGTGTGTGTGTGTGTGTGTGCGTGCGTGCGTGCGTGTGTGTAAGCATCTGTCTGTACCTGTGCTTGTATTAAGATTACCACAAACACAAACATTCCCCACACAGTACGTACATTCAAATCACCCAAACAGGAAAACAACAGCAGCAGCAACAACAACAACAACAACAACAACAATAACAAAAACAACAACAAACGGAGCGACGGCAGAATGTTATCACTCCGAAATTCCGCGATACCACGACGGCAGAGCCAATTGACATATCTGGCACTGGGCAAGTTTCTCCACGTGCCAGTCGAGTGCCAACTTGAGATAGGGGAGAAGGAGGGTCTTTCCTGACCCCCCCCCCCATGCCCCACGTATATTCATAGTGCCCGGAAATTACCACTATATATGTTTTTTTTTTTGTTTTTGTTTTTCTTGTCTTAGATGTTCAGTACATCTGTCTGGCGGTACGTATGTGTGTGTGTATATTTAGATGTATATGTATGTTTGTGTGTCTGCATCCTCTCTCCCTCCCTCCTTCCCTCTGCCTTTCTCTTTCTTTTTCTGTGTTTCTTTCTGTATATCTTTATTACTCTCTCTCTCTCTCTCTCCTCTCTTTCTCCTCTTTCTCTCTCTCTCTCCTCTTTCTCTATATGTCTTTATTACTCTCTCTCTCTCTCTCTCTCTCCTCTTTCTCTATATGTTTTTATTACACTCTCTCTCTCTCTCTCTCTCTCTCTCTCTCTCTCTCTCTCTCTCTCTCTCTCTCTCTCTCTCTCTCTCTCTCTCTCTCTCTCTCTCTCTCTCTCTCTCTCTTTCTCCTCTCTCTCTCTCTCTTTCTCCTCTCTCTCTCTTTCTCCTCTTTCCTCCCTCTCCCTCCCCCTCACCCCCTCTCTCTCTCTCTCTCTCCCCCTTCCTCCCTCCCTCCCTCCCTCCCTCTCTCCTTCCTTCCCTTTCTCCATCCCTCCCTTCCTCTCTTTCAATCTTTCTTTTTCTCTGTCTCCCCTCCCCCCCTCACCTATCTCGCCTGTACGTGTGTATGTGTGTATCTATATCCACTTTTCAGTAATGGCTCGAGAGATTGGCTACGAAGGCCAGAGAATGTGATTAAGATATACTAAAATAGATATTGAGGATTAGCTTTTGATCTGTCTGTCTCAGATATAGTCTTGGGCAATTACTTTTTTTTCTTCTTCGTTTCTTCTTCTTCCTCTTTCGCTCCGTTCCTTTTTTTTCTCTTCTTCGTTGAATATTTGTATGGTTTTTCTCTTTCTGTTCTTTGCTCCTCCTCGTCTTTCTCGTTTTTTCTTCTCCTCTCCCTACTGCTACCATTTCTTTTCCCGTTCCTGCTCCTCCTACTCTTCTTCTTCTTTTTCTTCTTCTTCTTCTTCTTCTTCTTCTTCTTCCTTCTCCTCCTCCTCCTCCACCTTTCACTGCTCCTTCTCTTCCTCTTCCACCTCGTCCTTTTCCTCCCCACCCCCCTCCTCTTCCTTCTCCTCCTCCTTCTTTCTCCCCTTCTTCTTCTTCTTTTCCTTCTCTTTCTACATAATCAGCATCGTATCACCAAGGTTATTGATGACGTCATATCACCAGAGAATCTTTACCGTCAGTTCGTAACATGCTCGTTAAGCGCTTACGATGCTATTTTGAATGCTATGAAACTTTGGCGAAGTGGATATCACAAATTAACGATATAGTTGAAGACCAGAGGCTATTTTGGAAGTGTTTGCGATATGTTCTTGCATGATTATTAACTGTTAAACGAGCTTAAACACATACACACACGTGTGTATATATACACACGCATGTGTATATATATAGATACACACACGCACACATATATATGTGTGTGTGTGTATCTATATATATACACATACATCTATACACACATACACACATACACACACACACACACACACATACACACACACACACACACACACACACACACACACACACACACACACACACACACACACACACACACACACACACACACACACACACACACACAAAAGCTTAAGACATAGCAAAAATAAACGCAAAGTATAAATTTTAAAACCGATATTTCTTTTCTATACCACTAAAACACCTACATCCCTAGTTTCCTGGTAAACGGGACTTCAAAGGCATTAGCATCACATAAGTCGTGTAGTGGACTTAAAACTACTGGCAGAAGAAGGAGGCACGAAACACATGAAAAATAATAACTTGATTTATAACGATCTTTACTTTTTTTTTTCTTTTTCTTTTATCTATCTATTTATTTATTTTTTAGTCAAGAAATCTGGGTATTTTAACTTTGAAGGAGAGGGGAAATGCTTTTATTTGCAAGACCCCTGTTTTACTATAATGAACAAGTGTTGGTATTTTCCTTTATATCGAAAATTCCCTTTAGCTTTAAGTTTCACTGCCTCCTCTAACGTTTAACTCCCTTCGTTAACGTTTAAATCTTTCTCCTATAACGTTGAATCTCCCTTCTCAAACGTTTAAATCTCCCTCCTCTAACGTTTAAATGTCCCTTCTCTAACGTTTAAATGTCCCTTCTCTAACGTTTAAATGTCCCTCCTCTAACGTTTAACTCCCTTCGTTAACGTTTAAATCTTTCTTCTCTAACGTTTAAATCTCCATTCTCAAACGTTTAAATCTTCTCTAACGTTTAAATTTCTTTCTCAAACGTTTAAATCTCCCTTCTCTAACTTTTAAATCTCTCTTCTCTAACATTTAAATTTTCTTTCTCTAACGTTTGAATCTCCCTTCTCAAACATTTAAATTTCCCTTCTCTAACGTTTAAATCTCTCTTCTCTAACGTTTAAATTTACCTCTAACGTTTAAATCTCTTCTCTAACGTTTAAATTTACCTTCTCTAACATTTAAATCTCCCTCCTCAAACGTTTGAATCATCCATCTCTAACGTTTGAATCTCCCTCCTCTGACGTTTAAATTTCCCTCCTCTAACGTTTAAATTTCCCTCCTCTAACTTTTAAATTTCCCTCCTCTAACGTTTAAATCTCTCTTCTATAACGTTTAAATTTACCTCTAACGTTTAAAGCTCTCTTCTCTAACGTTCATATCTCCCTTTAACGTCTCGGTCTCTCTTCACAGGTACGTGTGGTCAGACTCGGTGAAGCAAAGATCCGAAGCTTTTGAAGCCTTCGTCCGTGGTGGGAGTTGACCGAAGGGACTAAGAAAAACAAGAGAAAGAAAACACAGAAAGGAAAGAGAAAAAAGGCAAAGAGAAAATGTGAAAGCTCTGTAAATTCGTGTTATTCTTTGGCTAAGAGTTCATTACAGACGACCAAGAGGAAGGTAATGAGTTTGTGACAAATAAACACTGCTTCGTTTCATGAACTTTCCATCGTCAGTATGTAATCTAAAACTTATTTTAAAACCGTGTGAATTTAGACCAAAAAACTAAATCTTATCTAGTGGTACTGACTAGAAAAAAAATCAATATGTTCCTTAGACAAATGAAAGTGTGAATCTATTTATTACAACGAAGCAAAGACGGAAAAGTTATTAAATCTTAATCGTGTGTGAAATGTGGAATCCAATTCTTTGTTGGATACTTTCATAGCAAACCGTCCACGCTGCTTATCAGGTAAGATAAAAAATGAAACTTTATTGTAAATTCATTGTTACAGTAATTATGATCACTCATTACCGTTATTGATGTAATTGTTACTATTATTGTTATTGCTGTTACTGTTATTATTATTGTTATTATTATTATTATTATTATTATTATTATTATTATTATTTTGTCATTGTTATTATTATCATCATCATCATTATTATCATTATTACTATTATTAATATTATTATTATTATTATTATTATTATTATTATTATTATTATTATTATTATTATTATTATCATTATTATCATTATTATTATTACTATTATTATTATTATTATTGTTATTATTATTATTATTATTATTATTATTATTATTATTATTATCATTATTATTATTATTATTATCATCATCATTATCATTGTTATCATCATCATCATCATCATTATCATCACCATCATCATTATCATTATTATTATTATTTTTATTGTGTCATTCTCTCCAGTCCTTTGATGTTCTTCTGGGTCCTCTTTGTCTTGCCTCAGCTACTTCCCGCAGCCTAGAAACGTAGAAACTTTCCGTAATATGTGGCCGACAATTGTGCACTACCATCGATGTTAGGTATGGCTAACTTCCCATGCCAGGTTTTTGCGTTCTTTGTTCTTTGTTCCAAACAGTGCACCGATCACAATTGGTATCACTGTTACTTTCGATGCTCTGTGGATTCTTTTAATTTCGAATGCTAGCTTTTGATATTTAGCCATTTTCTCTTCCTCAGTACTGATGATGTTCTGGTCCGCTGGTACAGCTATGTCAATTAGTGCCCACTCCTGTGTATCTTTCCGTAGTAGAGTAACATCCGGTCGATTGTGATTTAGCTTCTTATCTGTGTAAACAGTCATGTCCCAGGTAATGCCCCATTATTTTTATTATTATTATTATTATTTTGTTATTGTTATTGTTATTTTTATTATTATTATTGTTATTATTATTGTTATTATTATTATTATTATTATTATTATTATCATTATTATTATTATTATCATCATCATCATCATTATCAAAATTATTATTACTACTACTAATATTATTATTATTATTATTATTATTAATATTATTAATGTTATTATCATTATTACTATCATTATTATTTTTTAATGATTGTTATTATTATCATCATCATTATTGTTATAATACAGACATATTCCAATCAAAAGAAAACGAAAGGTAACCCATACGCAATGCCTCTCTGCTACAAACCCCTTTATTGAGAACCACCCGGAGCTAAATAGGCGTATGGTATTAAGGGCCCGGATGCACAAAACAACATTGCAACATCCGTCAGAGCAAGGCGGATAAGACAACAGTTTCAACAAAATATCAACAAAAAACAAACAAAGAGAGAACGGTTTCAAAAAGAATTTTTCGTGAGCAAAGGTTTCTGATTTTTTTTTTTTCTTTCTCTCTCTCTCTCTCCCTGTCTTGTTATCTGTTTTCTTCATCTCTTGTTCGTCTGCTTGTTTGTCTGTCTGTCTGCTTGTATGTTACTTTTTTTGGTGTGTGTATTTTGTTGTGTATGTTCTGTGTTGTTATACATTTTCTATATCCTATCTTGTGTGTTATGGTTTGTAATATTTATTTTATTTTGATGTGTATGTTATATATATTTGCTGTGTCTCGTTATGTATGATCTGGTCTTATAGTACCTTATGCTTCGTTATTTATCTACTAAATCGTTATATACATTTCGATAGGTCATGATCCCACTCTTGCACTCTCGAGAAATAATTGAAGAGGTCCTTAAAAAAAAAAGTTTCTTCATATTTACTCCAACCCACAATTATAAATAATCCTCTAAAATTCACTTTTTAACGATTTATTGAACGGAGTAGCTTTCCTCCCATTCTTAAAAAAAAGAAAAAAAAAGAAAAAGAAAAGAAAAAAAAGAAAGAAAAAAAAAAGAAAAAAAAAATATATATACATATATATAATTGAACTAAACACTTAAAACAAAAGTAAAAAAAGAAGAAAAAAAAACCTTGCCAAACCTACTATAAGTGACTTTAATTGAAAAGTTGAACACGCACTTCTATATAATTAAAAACAATTTGTTCCCTGATCAAAGCAATACAGAACCTATCGCTGAGATGAAACTTCGATACTGAAGGAAAATAAAAACAATTAAATCAGAATAATAAGTAATAAATGATGATAGCAATAATAGCAAAATGATATACAGGAGAATTAATAATTAGGATAATACTGTAAAGACATGATAAAGATATAGATAGATAGATAGATAAACTCATATACATAGAAAGGGAAATAAAAAGATAAGGAAATAGATAAATAAATAAATATATTTGGTAGATAACGGAATGAGTTAAACAATGATAGATAACAAAATATATGTCAATGTGGACGAAAATGTATTAATATGTAAATAAGTGAATATACAGATGAATAAATAAACGAGTAATGGCGTAAGTAAGCAAATAAGGACGTTGATAACCTAATGAATATATGAAGACGCAAATGGAAAGATAAATAGATAGGTAGATCGATAGACAGATACATTAATAAATATAAAGATTTATAAAATAACCAAGTAAAGAAGTAAGTGAATAGATAAAAAAAAAAACAAGAAAATACGTATAAGCAAACAATCCAGTAAATAAACATAAACATAGACACTTGAACAAACAAACCAAATAAATACATAAATAAATATATTGCTGAGTTAGTAAATAAATTGATAAGTAAGTTTGATACAGTAACCCCCATTCTCAGGCACCTTGGCACTCTGACAACACCGCGCAGGCAAGAGTCACCGCAGTTCAATATTTCTCTCATTAAATTTTTTACTAACGTTTTATCACGTAGGAAGATAAGTGAAAGGATTTAACAACAGATAAGATAAGAAACTCATCTGTGTTCGAACGCGTGAGGAGAGAGAGAGAGAGAAAGAAAAAATGAAAGGAGAAAGTCAGATCAAAAGTAGATATTCTGTTGACGAAATTTTAAATGAAAGTATTCTCCGACGCGATCGATTTTCGTATAAGAACATGGGTGTTATTATGGTGTAAATATCGGATGGTAAGCAAACGCAACGCTTCCTCTAGGTCATCTTAGGTCATTAAACCGTCCGTCTTGTCATCTGCAGACTGTGTGACCCCCAACTGTTACTACTTTGACCCTAGGGACCCCTTTCGTTGTATCGAGGGGGTCGGGATAGCGTGCTGTAAAGAAGCCTGTTCTGATCGTATGGCCTATTAAGAAAATTGTGGTTTCTCGTCTTAATGAGGTTGTTGGTCGTTACTTCCTGTGTCTTTTTGGTTCTGTTGTTTTCTATGAGTGATACGAGTTGTTTGGTTGTTTGTTTTTTTCTCGTTTTTTTATGTGTGTGTGTGTGTTTTCCTTTACGGTTTTCTGTTTGTTTGTTTTATTTCGGTGTTGCATAGTTTTCGTTTTTTTTTTTTTTCCTCTTTGGCTTAACTTATTCTCTCTCTCTCTCTCTCTCTCTCTCTCTCTCTCTCTCTCTCTCTCTCTCTCTCTCTCTCTCTCTCTCTCTCTCTCTTCTCTTTCTCTCTCTCTCTCTCTCTCTCTTTCTCTCTCTCTCTCTTTCTCTCTCTCTCTCTCTCTCTTTCTCTCTCTCTCTCTCTCTCTCTCTCTCTCTCTCTCTCTCTCTCTCTCTCTCTCTCTCTCTCTCTCTCTCTCTCTCTCTCTCCATGTCATCCACACCGCCAAGTACCTCACTCTCAAGCACATAGCGTGAACCATGGAATAGCACTGAGCTCTCATTGGTTGTGAAAATGACGTTGCTATTTTCGGCGATTCCCCGAGGAGGAGAGGGAGAGACTGAGATGTTGGGGGGAGGGAAGGGAAAGAGGAAGGGAAGGGGAGGGAGGAAAGGGAAAGGGGAAGGGGAGGGGAGGGAGTGAAGGAGGGTGGAGAGGGGAAGGGGAGGGAGGGAAGGAGGGTGGAGAGGGGAAGGGGAAGGGGAGGGAGGGAAGGAGGGTGGAGAGGGGAAGGGGAAGGGGAGGGAGGGAAGGAGGGTGGAGAGGGGAAGGGGAAGGGGAGGGAGGGAAGGAGGGTGGAGAGGGGAAGGGGAAGGGGAGGGAGGGAAGGAGGGTGGAGAGGGGAAGGGGAGGGAAGGGGAAGAGGAAAGGTAGGGGAGGGAGGGAAGGAGGGTGGGAAGGGAAAGGGGAAGGGGAAGCGAAGGGAAAGAGATAGGGAGGGGAGGGGAGGGAAGGAGGGTGGGAAGGGAAAGGGGAAGGGGAGGGAAGGGAAAGAGGAAGGGGAAAGGGAAGGGTAAGGAAGGAAGGGAAGGAAGTGGAAGTGGGAGGGAAAGGTGGGGGAAGAAGAGAGGAAGCAAAGGGAGAAAGGGTGAGAGAGAAGGCGAAAAGGAGAATGGGAAAGGGATAGCGAGAAGGAGAGGAGGAGAAAGAGATAGAGAAGAAGAGAAAGAAATATATTGAGGGCAAGAAAGAGCCACTAATAAGGAAAGAGAGAGAGAAAAGAAAAGACAGACAGACAGACAGATAGACAGACAGACAGACAGACAGACAGACAGACAGACAGACAGACAGACAGACAGACAGACAAATAAACACACAGAGACAAAAAGACAGAAGGAAATACACAGTAACGAGAAACAAAACAAAAAACAAAACAAAATTTAAAAAAAGTAAAATCTCAAACTATCACAGACAAACCGACAAAAAGCCCTCGATCGATCTCCCTCAACCCCCCCCCCCCACTTCCACCCCCCTCCCCCCCTTTTTCCTTGCCGAGGGTCAGGAAATGTGAAATTTTTGCCCCCTCTTTCAGAAAACCTTTCCGCGGGGCCAAGAATAATTCGGTTGCAGTTGGGTCGAGGGCGATGTTTTAAGGCTGGGCGTGTGTTTCTTTTTTCTTTTTCTTCCTTTCGTCTTGTTGTTGTTCTTTCTTCTTCGTATTTTTCTTCGTATTCTTCATTTTCATCATTTTTTTTCTTCTTTTTTTTAAGTCTTCTTCTCTTCCTT